TGTCTCTTTTTATGTGATGTAAAGTTCTTTTTCATTTTTGACAGATTTGGCCTTTTTCTACTCAAAACAAGACAGAAGATATTGTTTGACAAATAACCAAAAACCTTGTGACTCGTGTCCTCGTTGTGTTCAGTTTTAAGCACGGCAGATGTGCTTACGACCATTATGCTGAACAGTTGTGCATAACAAATAATGAGTATTCCTAGTGAAGACAGGAGTTCACGCCCTTTAGCCATGACAGGATCCGTTAATGATGAGTTCGGATCCCACATTCACCCTGACTTTGTCCCTGGGTGTCACTGAAACATCTGACCTGTGAGAAATCAGGTTAGAATATGTCTTCACCAAACCATGCTTGTCTCCCCCCGTGAAGATCCGGGTTAGAATAGATCTTCAGCAACCCATGCTTGTCGTAATTTTATAAGAGGCGACAAAGCTTGTCGTAAGAGGTCACTAACGGGGTCGGATGGTCAGGGACGCCGATATTGCACTTCATCGTATCCCAATTATATCCCAATCGATGCTCGTGATAGCAATCACTGGATTGTCTGGCCCACTGTTGGTACGCGATGCAAGCTTAGCGCTTTGCTGATGTTAGTTTTGTCGAGGGCACTTTTACTTCTTAAACAAACTTCAAGTCGTCCGCTATTTGCTGTCATTCGACACCAAGGACTAATGAATGCCATGTTTAGTGTCGTCCAATCGCAGCCTACGATAAATCGGCCGTCGCTCGTCTGCTAGATTAGGTACACAGGAGGCCAGTCTTCGAGTGAAGAAGCTTACAAGATATTATAACTTTGACGCCAACAAATGTCTTTATTAAAATGACAAACAAATAAACTTTACTGAAATAATGAAATAATTTTCAAAAACATTTTAATCGACACAGGCGTGTTTAAAACAGGACGAACAATATTGATTTTAAGTCATTCCCTGTTTTACGACTTACGCCATGTTTTTGATTACCTCCCTTTTTTTACTCCCTTTCTCTGTTGCGGTAAACTTTCCAACAAATGTCATGTGTTTCACAGGTTAAATAAAACTAAAGCTCAACAACTAATAACATATCAGGAATTTAAAGACTAGGTGAACCAAATATTAATATTATTATGAACAATTGTTTAAAATAAAAAAATGCGTGTACTTTCTATTCAATTAGTCCTGTACCTCATATACACTGTTCAGAAAACTGTTACAAATAAACCACGGCGCCATGACCGACGTGGCATAATTTTCCTCTGTTCTTAACTGGATTGTTTATATATTTAGTACTCACGCGGTAATGACAGGGCGTATTGCATTTGTATTCTATGAATGTTTTTGCAATAACATTCAAATACTGTTCCAGTATTGTTTCATTAAAAAACGTAGGTTTCACAAACAGCAGATCAACCGAACCCACACTATAGTCTCCTGAATCACTTACTTTCAACTGGACCGTGAAGATCCGGGGTAGAACAGGTCTTCAGCAACCCATGCTTGCCGTAAAAGGTGACCATGCTTGTCGTAAGAGGCGACTAACGGGATCGGGTGGTCAGGCTTGCTGACTTGCTTGGTGCATATCATCGTCTCCCAAATGTGTTGATCGATGCTCATAATGCCAATCACTGGATTGTCTGGTCCAAATTCGATTATTTACAGACCGCCGTCATATGGCTGGAATATTGCTGAGTGCGGCGTTAAACAACAAACAAACAAACATTTATTAATTGTGTACAGCTTCCTCGTCAGATGGGAAATACTCGACTCAGCAACAAAACCGCAAACTGAGATACCGGTACATAGATTCCGGTAATGCTTCACATACATATGGGGTATGCGTTACCTGACATTGAGTTCCAACAATTAACTGCAGGGATAGCTATTATATTTATCGAGCATCATTGAAAAAATTACCAGAAGGTAGATAAGGTTATTCTGCAATGTAAGCAAAGATATACGCTAGCCACATTGTGTACTCGGTGCTTTCTCTTAAAGGGCAAGGCCAGTCAACATAGCAACTTTCCAGATTTTGATACTTTCCTTATTCACTGACAATATAGGACAACCGATATTCGCCAAAACATCTCACTCATTTCTTTCACTTTACTTGCCCTGAGGAAACGGGTTGCCATTGATCGTAAAGGGCAACAATGCTGCAACTCTCAGTCCTCTCACCGGCGTCGCTTTATTTAGCCCATATGCATGTAATCACCAGACGCCATTTACCTCTGAATACAAGTCAAACCAGTCGATATTACATTCCATAATAAGCAAAGTTTGTTTCCGCGAAGAAAAGAGCCTTCTATATATATTTCACTACTTTCAAAGTTGGAGCGGGGTGACCCTTTAAGCGAAGTTGTGAAGGTCTTTGATTAAACTTCAGTCAGTTTTAGCTTCCGTCTCATAATAAGCTGAAACGTCGTGATATACGTAAAATAGGTTGACATGGCGTCATACTCTGAACTAAACATGCCCACTGCTCATGTGTACCTACCTAGTATGCCGCAGTCCCAGAGACTCCTACCTCAACACAATAACGGTATCTCATATGAAAGGTTCGTATTTAGAAATAATTGATTTCGATTTTTCTGCATTGGCCACTGTTGAGAAAAGTTATGTGAATTTCACAATCTTTTCTGGTAGATGGCATTGCTGTAAGGGATTTATTTTTCAAAAACGATTATTTATATTTTTTAAAAACAAAACAAAAAAACACCATAAACAACCCACTTGATTACAGAATAATTTGAAATAAAGATTCGTGTAAAGGCTTTCATTTTGTTAGGAGCAGGTTCGCTCGTTGCCCTCGTTCTTATAACGAGTTACCTCCCTTGTGTCTGTGACGTCACAATTAGCGGCGCGTGCGGCAGAGACTGGTGGTATTCTCGGGTAAGTGTGAAACGTCACTACAGTATAAAGCGCCGTTAAATACCAACACGACAGAACACAGCCGTTTACTGCGAACATATATATGTGTAATACTTAATTCTAATATATCAGTAAAACATTTACATAAATGACACGAAAAGCAAAGTAAAGGCATGTTTTGGCCTATACCCATACCAATGACAAATTATGACTGATTAGGGATAAGTCTAAAATCTGCCCACAAAAGCTAATTTTATAAGTTTTTCGTTTATGAAGCGGGTCTTGTTTATTTTTATTACATGAGCAAATAGTTGACCCCAGATGATTTTCTCATTTGATGTAGGTAAATAAATATAGTACAATCGTGGAGAATAAATATTCATTTCGGGTCATGAACTTGCTCATTGTTAGATTTTTTCTTCGCATGTTTGAAAAAAGCGTATTTATCATACTAATGTACTTCATGACACAAGTTTAAAACGTACAAACGTAAGAAAGAAGTAACGTGCTCAATGTTTTTCATAATACAGTATTTGAATAGTATTTTAAAGTTGGTCACTGGTCAATTCCAGTTAGCCAAAAGTGTTCATATCGAGCATACAATTCATGTGCTTTCATGTCAGGAAATATGTATTAAATACGATGACTACTGCAGGGAATATATATACACGTACATTAAAATCCCTGGCAAACGAAACACTAAACACGATTTAACGAATACTGTACAAGAGTAATGGTTTACATGTTAACCTATACTTGTAAACATCACAGGATATATATATGCCCATACAGCCTAGCCTATATCAATATTGACAGTCTATCGATCTGTGACGTGTGTGTACATTTGGCAACACATTCAGGATAATTTGTGTATCACATGTATTCTAGATACATGTAGTACTGTATTAGAGACGCTCTAAAATCCATTTACTTTACGTCATATATACAAGTGGCATATTAATATACAAATGGAGACAGCATTTGCGGTGCGATATGAATTATGGACAATGACGTGTAATGCTTAACTATGTCATTTTGTAAATAATGTGTAGGATGTATAACGGTGAACCTTTCTAAATCACAGCTGCGTATGACAATCACTCTCATGGACAATATCTGTCAATCACGCAAAAATAGTATCATCACCGTATGTTTCGATCTGGTTTCAGTCGTGTGTTAACATGCTTGGGCTAAAGTCATTATAACAAACAGATGCTCCGTCATCCCTGTAGTCATAATAGTAATACCAAATCAGTGAATGAGCATGATTATCGAATTCACGCGGAGGTGATGCCCCGTAAGCGTAGCGGGTTACCATGGCAACCACAACAGACACTACCGCGATCAATAGGCGCTATATTAGCAGAATCTCGCCAAAATGGCGACGCAACTCTTTCGTCTGCACGCTGGAGTAAATTAGTCTGCAGTGAAGGCCCGTTGTAGCATTTATTCGAACTGAGTCAGAATATTTTGAACCAGGTGAGTGACTGTTGGTTTTTTTCCATATTCACGACCGACACATATGAGCGCGATCATCTTGAAATGTACATGCTGTGTATATGTCGATATCCCAGCTGATCGGCAGCTTGAAGACAGATAGCATCTGTTGATGACGGAAATGTATATATATTGCAGTCTCCTGTCCTGACACTTATATCCGTTGTCCATTATCTGTCCATCAATACGGGGTGAAATATACATGGATGCCATCTGCTGCACATTTACTGTTATAACGCATGTACCGAACAGCCGTGTGTATATCAACAATTACACCATTCACGGAAATGAACGTTTCGCGAAACACATGGGGCTGTGTATTTTATCTCTGTGGGGGCACAATATACAGACTGAGCTCATAAATAGGTTATAATGGTATTTTCATTCAATCCGGACTTATCAGGACGGGACCGAGAGGGAGTTAATTACGTATGCATCCGTAAACATAGGATTGTCTATATCATATTGGTACATCTTGCAAAGAAAATGTGTGTGTATTGTTATTGTTTTGTTTTTTCTTGATGTCGAGAATCCTTAAAAAAATATCTACCACGCACTTATCATCTTCTCTCCAAATAGGGTCGTCGGCTGTCTATCGCATCCAATTTCACTGCTCACGTTTTCGCTTTAGTAATTCAACCTGAATAAATTAACTGTTAGAAACCGCTATAACAGTAGCGCCCTCCAGAAGGGAGGCAACTGCCATGGGGCGTGCTGATATGCCGGTCACGCATGCACGTCCGTATAATGTATCACGTGAACAGATGTACATGTTGTGAATGCCGGCTGTGCTATGCATAGCACATATACACGTGAAGTATTTCCCCTGCCGTGATGCAGCTAGTGTAGACAGTGGTGTAGGTATGTTATTTTGTTCATGCATGTACAAGGTAGGTGAATATAGTCCCATTGAATACGTCTCGCATTTTGTGCTATTTTATCGTTCATCATATATAGTTTTATTGAAAAAGATCACAATTATTTCATTTTACATTTTAAATACAATCGATATCAAAATATTAAAAAGGTCTTTTATCAACGTTTCGTTGTTTATTGTTTTTGTCCTGGGTGCGTATTTGTTTTTTGTCTTTCGTTTTTGATCAATATGCTGTTATTTTGTGGTATTATTTTGTAAGTAAATTTATCACCTTACACATTTCTTTGTATACATCAAACTGTAAACACGAAGGTACAAGTTGTTTTCTTTGTAAACATATACATTTAAACGTTAATTTATGAAAAGATACATTCAAATATCGTAATATTTATCCTTTTTTTTTTAAACTAGCCATGGCAAACAAAACAAGCAACGCCCATCCCATTTGTTTACATCAGAAGGCGTGAATGCAACAAGATAGAGGCCCTGTATAAGTGAAGATAGAAACCCTGTATACGTGGTGCATGGTTTAGTGGTTCATAGTTCACGTTTCTCGCATTCATCATTGAGTTTTGTATATCTCCCACTGTATCTGGTGTTTGTGTACAGGTGCGGCGGCGCGAGAGGTTGTGCGGTGACTGACGCTATCAACAGACATACCACACGGGTGCAACTGTATATCTCGTCGAGCCTGATAACAAGGTAAGTGCAATACGGATGTACACGTTATCGCGGGTGTGAGCTGGATAGATTTGATTTGAGTCTCGTTACTTTAAAATAATGACGGATATTCATATGCCATTAAAACTAACGTTTAGTCTCTGAAAATATATAATATTGAAAGAAACAAACAACTCCATTTAAATTGAAAAAGAGCCTCAGGGAGACGGGCGATAATGCGGAGAACCTAGACTTGCTTCATTTAGAGCTGTAGTATTGCAGTGCGTGCTGGGCGAGAGGGAAATTAATATGGCCCAGAGACTGTGAGACAGACTAAAAGTTTTATATTCAGGTGACGAAGGGGAGATGGCATCTAAGATCAGTGAATTTATCATCGGAGCGCTTTTATATGTATAGTAAATTGCGACGAATATCAGTAAGAACTTAAACTAAAATTATATGAAATTATCAGTAGAAGATATTTATGTGAATTATGTAAATGACCAGTATAACTGTCGGTTAACTTTGAGAGGTGAATTTACTGTTCCAATGGTGTCAGTCCAGAGTATGTGCTAACATGGCTCGTCCGGATCGTGCAATATTGTCGCGGGATCTGTACACTGAAACACTAAAACAGGTACCTCAGTTTGGAAAATGTCAACTATACAACTATATGACAACCCAGAGCAGTAATCAAGGTAGTCTGTCCCCCAGACCCTGGAGAAACTTTTTTAAAAAGTCCAACTCAAGTCTAGAATGATTTGGCAAGTCTAGACTGCCTCATCTCTGAAATTATGATTTTTTTCTAGGCTCCATTTGGAGTTTTTATTTATTTTGTAGATATATACGTGGTTTTTTTAAAAATATTAATAAGAAAACTTTATTTCTGTGACTAAATGTCAGTAGGCGTGTTAAAGTGTGCTAGGATCAGGTGTCCCGGTCCACCTGACCACTAACATTCTAAATCTCCGATTTGCAATAGATAAATGTCAAACTTCGTTAGGTATTCTTTTAATATGTAACAAACGGCATACCAAAAACTCTTTTCATTTCAGAATCGAAGAAATTTAGACTTGCAAAGTATTGTAGACTTGCTTTAGAGTTTTCGGATAGTTTTATTTCAGGGTCTGTATGGAGAATACACTGGATGCGAACTTAAATACTATTATGTATAGATCAATCATTCCAAACAGAATTTGAATACTAGTATACTTGAATCTCTATTTAACACACGATGGACATGCTATACATAACTTGTTCGACTTTGTCAAAATGTGTGATTCGTAAATTGCGTAATTTATAATTAAAGTGTAACCTTTGACCCGGGACAGATGGTGTAATTAGCAAGTATCGACGCGTGCGTCAATTTCGCTGCTGGTAACAGTGTTAATATGTGATTGTCAGTCAGCTGCCACGAGCTGTTATCGATAGCTGTTACAGCCTCTTGTACTATATGTGTAACAATTTACCCAGAAACGTGAATAAACATAATGAGATCACGCGCAATCAATAACAGTCTTGCTAGGTATTGATGTGATGGGTATGTATGCATGAGACATCAATAGCATAGCAATAAACATACCCGTGGCCGTTATTAAATTCATTACGGTGTCGGATAGGTGCCATATCGGCGTATGATACGGATAAAAGTATTCAAACTGCAACCGTATCACATGCTCGGATAAACAGTAGTTCACGCTCTAATGATTCATTCTTTCCGGACCTTGTCTATTTATTCTCAAAAACATTTTTCAAAACAGTGTTAAACTTCTGTTTACCTCCCGCCAAAACAGGAATTCTCTCGTCTGGTCATGTTTGTGAAAGTACAATACAATGTCTTTGAGTGATGGCGGCGAAATATCATTCCAGTACTTTTCAATTCTGTCTGGTACTCGTCAGTTCTGATAATGACTTGACCTATTGCTCATAACTTCGCATTTGTGTATATTAACCTGAATGGATAGAATTCTCCCAAGAAGGAAACATTTGAGTTTTATACGAGTGCTGATATTTTTGGTATCAAAAGACACGAGGGTGAGATTCTACAGTTAACTACGGTTATAACGAACTCAAAGGGACTACTAATTTTAGTTCGTTATAACCGTAGTTCGTTATAAGCGTGTTCGTTATAACCGTAGTTTACTGTATATGTTATCCCCAAATCATTCCTAGAACTCTGTTTTGTCTGTTTTGTACAATAGTGATATTATTTGATTGAGACGTCATGGTAACCGATGACGGCACACTCGTCTGCAAAGCATTGTTATACCTTTCCCTTCACTTTGTGTGAGTTCATTGGAGTATGAACCTTCATAGAGTGAGGGCCAAACATTGTATGAATGTCGGAGCTTGCCCTCTCTCTACGAAGGTTCATACACCAATGAACTCACACAAAGTGAAAGAAAATTCTTATAATTATAAACATATGCCACTAACTTTTACCTAGAAGGATGTAGGTCTAGATCTATACTCAGTTTTATTTAGTACGTATGACTTCATGTCTACACTGACAGCCTTACAGCAGCTAGCGGTGTCGCGGAATAATATATATTTCCTCAAAAAGAGAGGTGACGTGAAAATATTTGTTCTCAACGTACTTGATCTACAGGAACATCTATTGTAGTTGTTTACAACAAATGTATTCAAATAATATCATCATTGGATGAGAAAGGTGTGTAAAGAGCTACCTCAGTAATTCAGTCAGAGTGAGTGGGTGAGTATGGTTTTACGCCGCTATCAGCAATATTCCAGCAATACCACGGCGGAGGACACCAGAAATGGGCCTTATAAATACCCATAATTCAGTCAGAATGACAGCGCGTCGTAATACACGTACAAGACGCCAAAATGTCTGATACGATAAACGTGACGGGAGAGATTTCCCCAAGTAGTTAATGAACGTGTGGCGGTTACATGTGTTAGCAATCACTGATCAATTGCCCGATCATTTAAAGGTGATTATAAAGAAGCTTAAATTCATAGATTTCTGTAGATTGTCACTTTAAGTCAAGACACGGACCGAGTCGATACTACGCTAGTTTGGATATGTACGTTTCTTCGTTTTGTTCACTAATATAATCGTGGACGATCATGCAGTCAAACTCTCTGATGTTTCTCAATGTATGTTGAAAGACTGAGTTTAATATTAAAGGGTCTAAATGATCAGAAACAACGCTTCTGTATGTATTCGTGCTAGGGAATTCTTAGGGGTTCCTCCAGGAATGTGGAAGTAATCCGTAAGTGTTTACGTCATTTCAAGAATATGGTCTCATGAAATCGTATGAACGGCAATTTCGCGGTCATGTGACCGACATCTCGTCCAATTGAAAAGCCGCATATCGTGTAAACTTCACATTAAAAAAATATTATAGCGATACATCCTAGGGTACATCGCTTGTTCTCATATATGAACTACGCAATGAATCGCAATGAACAACGAAGAATGAGGCGTGGTTCACACGATAAAACTGTATTATCGTGACGTCATTTCTGGAGATTCGAACCTACATTCGACTCTTGATGACTATTTTTTGAGAGGGTAGTGAGTTATTCCCCTTAGATGCAGATAAACGCAATTGCAGAACGATCGCATCCAAAAGTGGGCGAGATATGGCAATCTGTATGAGAAAAGGTACAGATAACGAACGTCCATAGGTTTGGTGTTTGTCAGAATATTCAGGAAATACCAACTTAGCCCCCTTGTTCATAAAAGAGACTCGCTATATACAATGTGTATTCCTAATACTGGATATTTACCACCCCAAAACATCTCCTCTGTATCTCTCCAAGCGATAGCTTCTATTGAAGCCAGTTTGGGATGATAGATGACAATCTCATTTTCGGCTCTTTCCGCCAAACCTGGACAAAAAGACATCGGTCATGCTGGCATTGACTGTACCGAGCTAATGGACAGGGTCGATAGAATGATATCTTGTATGCTTGAAAATTGAGATTACTTAATCAAATCGTTAACGGATGCTTCAAGGTTAACAATGGTGTATATGTGTATGTGCAGACATAAATAGAGTTGCCCGTCGTCTCTTATTCGTCCTTAACGTTTACATACACGATCTGGTTTGAGAGTGTAGGCTCAGTGGAACGCGAACTGTTATGAATGTGGCTCTTTTTTCATCTCATTTCAGAATCTGAACTCTACAACAATGAAGATCTTATGTCTCGAACGGGACAATACAACGTTCCAGTCACTTGACGACGGGGCAGGTAACTCGTACCGATCAAGCTTCGAGTTGTTCCCCTTTCACGAAGGAAAAGACCATGCGGTTTACAAGGGCATGCTCAACGGGACAGGCCCAAAACGTGGGATGTTCTGTGCTGTGAAGGCGTGTGTCACCCACACAGGCAGGGAGGCGGACTGGTGGAGCGTCGTGGAGGCGTCGAGGACAGGACGACAGATGGCGACACTCTTCAACCAGGTTCTCAAACGCCAAGTCGTACGTTTTACACTGCCCCTCGTCGCTCAAATGAACAAAGTGTCCGACTTCAGCGGAGTAATGAAATTATTCCAGCCGCACGAGAAGAAACTGAAATTGAAAGAATATGTACTTCTGGAAGATTTCATTGAGGGAACGTTTAAAAGATTCAGTTCTGCCAGCGGTGCTTCTACTGACGTGGGGGAAGCGGATATGACGCAAGCATTCTCTCACTTCACGTGGCACCAGTCGAGAGAGCTCGTGATTTGCGGGCTTCAAGGTGTTAGTAATGGCAACGCCTATCATTTCACTTCCCCAACCATCCATTCATTATCCGGTCGATTTGGCCATAATGATTGTCGATTTCCTGGAATTTCAGAATTCTTCTCTCATCATATTTGTAACAATATCTGCTGCCACTGGGACGCCCCCTTTAAACAAGTACCGTGTCATCCACAACCGTTCCCGAACACCTACCCGCCACAGTCTCTGCTCCCGACAGCACCCTTATATAATACGTGTTAAAGGGGCTCTTCGAGGGAGTACATGTATTATGGGTAATATGTGAATTACATACTCGTTCTTGATTCAAACACATAGGACAAGGAGTTAATGGTTTACTTTTTGAGACTATATCTATAAATGAGTTACGAACAGAATGCAGTGTTTGAAACTGGAAGTAAGTTATACGTACTCGAATATCCCCTTCAGGGAAAGAACCGTTTGTGTTGATGCACGCATGGCGCTGTGTTCGTGACTACGTGTGTTATTACACATTATACACGTTTTGGAAACTGGAAGCATTTCATAGATACTCCTCGAAGACCCCCTTTATGGAAAGAGCGATTTATATTGATGCATGGCGCTATGTTTATACTTATGTTACCAGACATAATACACGTTTTGAAAACTGTCAGTATTTTATAGACACTCCTCGAATGCTTTCTTTAAAGAAAGGGTTGTTTGCATTCACGCATGCATGGCGCTACAGTGATAATTGTGTTTTTTGACAGTACACCCCTTTTTAGAAATGGAAGAATTTTATATATTCTCGAAGACCCACTTTAAGGAATAAGCATTTATACTGATGCGTGAATGACCCTGTATTTATACATTACTTGTCAGAGATTATACAATATTTATAACTGGAAGTATTTATTGATACTCGAAGACTTTCTATAAAAGGAAGATTTGTCCATGTATCGATGTATTGTATCGATGCGTTCATGACGTCACGTTGGTATTAGTTATTTATTCATATTTATATGTTGATGTTATTTACTGTTATAAATGTCAAGCTCCAAATGTCAAACGGAAGCATATTTGCTTCACATGTTTATATCAGGTATGCTTTTATATATATTCTACATTGTTGCGGCAACTATAGATGCAGGAATTCCTTATATAGTGAAACCTCGTTATTCCGGACTCCCATCGTCCAAACGATTGCTGGAACTACATGTATAAAAAAGCCATTATAATCGACGCCCATGATTCGTTAATCCAGACATTTGGTAATTCGGACGATTTCACTGGGAACGGAGCTGACCGGATTAATGGGGTTTAACTATATGTAATTGATAGTGTAAGCGTGTGTTTAACAGTTGTCGCTAATGCAGTATATGTATTGTGATATAAGAGAGAGATATATGCCTTAACGGTTACGTGTGTTTCAAAACTAGTTTAGTTTTATCAATCCCAGTGACAAACGTGTTAACGCTGTTGAATTAATTATTAGACATTAAGGCATTAGTTAATTAAGTCGAAATCGAGAGCCGGAGCCCTTGCGATTTAAGGCTAGTTGAGTTTGAACAATTAAGTTTTATAGTTATAGAATTACATCACATTATTATATCGTTTTTCAACTGTTTACAATGGCGATGGTTCAAGCTGAATGAATGTGCTCATGGTATACTTTCACGTCTTATTTTCATATCGTTTGTACAATCTTCAAATTTTGTTTACGTTTAGTTAATTATTGTTTTTTTTATTACCTATGGCATTTGGCTGTTGATCATGTTCATTCTTATTTTCTTAGATTTTTTTAACATTTTCAAACTTCACGTTTTTATATGTTTGAGTGTTATACAATATTTTCACAGTTTGGGTCCAATATTTTATATCATATATTTACACCATGTTTTCTCATAAATACATATGTCATCCACGACCGAGTTTTGTTCGAAATGTTGAAGTATTAAAATCATTGTAATTAATTAGAAAATAATATACGCAAATCAAAATGAAGTTACGAATATGTATAACCCATATTATTTTATCGTTTTCGTGCAATAATTTATTGTTTTGCTTTTCTCTTTGTTAATGAGTTATATTTCTGTGTGTTATATTATTCTATATATTTATTCGAGAATCCCTTATTTTATTCTTCACCAGAGAAGAGACTGACATTTATTACCAGAAATAAGTTATCTTATTTAAAAATATATATATCTAAGATAATATAACAATAATATCTAAATGGATCCCAGAACAGTCCTTTCTTTCTATAGCTTAGGCAATCTAGACTTGCCAAATCATCCTTGACTTAAGTTAAGATTCCTTTTTTGGTTTATTCTCTAGGGTCTGGATAAGAGCTGGGACCGGAATCATATATTTCATAATTTGGGTCCAAATAAATTATAGGGATAATCTCAATGTGTTGTTTTCATGTTTTATGTTTACATGTTGTTTATTGTTGAAGATGCGGAAGACCTGACATCCTAACATTATGTTCTAATCGCTAATCGTACTGGCAAAGGTATTAAATCTCAAAATTGGGCGACCATATGTACTATCAAAAGCGTATGTTCCTGGCCGATCTGTCTGAGGGCGTGATGAACAAGATTGCAGGCGTAGACACATGCCTACAGAAGGTGCTAATTAGATCATCCTGCCTTATAATCACCTTAGATTTTATATAGTTCAGAATGTTTTTCGTTTTTGTGAAACTATTTATTCGTTTACACCTTTTATTATCATGCATGTTTGTACATGAAATATCACGTATGTAATAAAATATGTCACACGTCATCTGTTTTGTTTATGTACGTAAACGGTGGTAGGCAAGAGACCACATCAGGGGCGCGCTGCAAGCCACGACTCGCTAAGAGAAAGCAAATTAATCGCTCATCCCGGGTCTGCAACAGTTCGAAGCGCTTGCCCACTCTTACAAAGTGGCGGCTCAACTACCGATGGTTGCCTTGACGTAATGAAGAACGTATAATAGTAGGATCGATGACGAGCTGATTACATTTGTGACTACTTTGAAGATGTGGATGAGGATGATGGGGTGTTAGCTGCCTTTGTTCAATTCCCCGTTGATCCAGTTAAGAATTGCTTGTCTTGCTGTCAAAGTCAGCCGCCATTTGGGTTTGAGAACGAAGCGACCTCAGCCAGCGATTGTTTCGCAAGCGGCTGAAAGTTAGCGCACTGTTGTAAGGCGCATCTCTGTACATCGCTTCCAAGCGATTGGCGCTTTGCAACGCACCCAAGAATGGAGAATGACCTTGTCAGTAATATATCATACGGAGGCTCCAGCTTAATACCATTAGAAGCGTCCATAAAATACGCCGGAGTCGTCAACATCTTAAAAATGTCGCACTGACTAGCTGCTAGGTTTATACCCGACTCCGACAAATAACACACTGTCATCATTCTATATCAACAGTTTATTTGTGTACATATATCACAAAACATAATGTAACAACAACATAACACGGTTTTTTTCATACATATCAATCTAATTAATACGTTAAAGCAGATCTCAGTTCTCGCTACCGCTAAACAAAGGTCCGAGGACATCCCATGACAGTTCATGTCAGAACGACCTTTCGCGAACTTTGACCGACCAATGAAATTATAAACAAGACGTCGACGTCAAACGAGCCAATCAGAAAGCAGCTTTCCGGAGCTATACGGCACTAGTTTCAAACTGTTCCCCACGGGCTATGCAAGTCACACGACTAAATTCCTCTGAAATTAATGATTTGATTGTCCGTAAGGAAGGTCAGTGTTCTACACTGCCGGACACAAGATAGTGGTTAAATATGAAACAAACAAGAAATGGTTATACGATGGTTATGTTTTTCATAACGGTATGATATAAGGAAGAGAATTTATGGATGTCAACTTCTTTATTATGAGGAACACAACGTTACGGTGTATATGCTTACTCGTTCCCCTGATGAAGGAGTAAGCATGTACTCCGAAACGTTGTGTTCCTCATAATAAAGAAGTTGACATCCCTAACTTCTCTTCCTTGTGTGTATCACTTCTAAATACCTTACAGAGACGGGTATCATAGTTGTGTAGGGGTGGAAACAGGAAACATGAACATGAAAACACCGACGTCTTTACAATTGCGTGGATCGATGTTCATGATGTCAATCACTGGATTGTCTGGTCCAGACTCGATTATTTACAACGTGACATAGCTTGAATATTGCTGAGTGCGGCTTTAAACAACAAACCAACCAATCAACCAACAAAGCCACAATTATGCCCCAGTGTTATCGTTGAGACAATCTTCATTCCACGTCACATCATGTTGATCATGACCAATCAACTCTTCGATTCCTCTGGGATATTTCATTTACACAGCCAATAAAACCATGTTAGGTCCTGCTACCCTAGTGACATAAGTGACATGTGTTCATGGCGCTGACTTGGCTAATGTAAGGCAGTCTGAATTGTTAGTTTGTTTATTGTTTTACGCCGCACTCAGCTACATTCCAGCTATATGACGGCGGTCTGTAAATAATCGAGTCTGGACCAGACAATCCAGTGATTGACATCACGCGCATCGATCCACGAAATTGGGATACGATGACATGCATCAACCACGCCTACCCGATCCCGTTAGTCGCCTCTTACGACAAGCATAGTCGCCTTTTACGGCAAGCATGGGTTGCTGAAGACCTATTCTAACCCGGATCTTCACGGGTCTGGCAGTCTGAAATCTGAGTCATTGAAGATATTCAATCAGTGTAGTGTGGGAGCTATAAAAGTGCAATAACATGATTAGTTGTATTTACATCCCAGTCACCAAGTAAACGTACAGCTTATATATGAGCATAATACTTGTGTTCTTGTTTAGAGGGGGCAGGGTGGCTCAGTAGTAGACAACCATTTAGCTATAATACAAGGCAGTCGGCGTGGGCATGTTCCTGCAAATGTCATTGCAACGGTGATATCTGAAAAAGGATATAATCCCATCCAATCCTTTATCTCTTGGCCCAAAATCCTGCCCAACACCAGAACCATTTTCTGAAGAGACCGAGTGGATTGTGGGGTCACTGAGGCGGAAGTGACCCTTTCTCCTGACACCCCTTAGTCCACAAATGACCAGCCTTTCATTGGTGAAATTCCAGGTAAAGTGTCCAAATGCTTGAAGAATGTCGCTTTCGTTCGGACCCACAAAGCCAGAATCGCTTATGTAGAGAGAAGTGGTTTTACCAAGGAAGTCCTCAACCACCACCACCTCATCCTCCTTCAGGCGCTTCCGATGGGGCCTAAAAGCCAGAATGATAAAGCCTATTATAGAATTTGCGTTCCACGCCGTGTCCATCTCAGCTCGTAGAGGAAGTGAAAACCTCACCTCAGTCCTAGGCATCAGCAGCTTGTTGAACACCGCCGCAAGAAGAGCTGCTTGCTTGGAACACATCATGTAGAAATCCCAATCTTGGAAGCGAGGGTGACTGTTCCTCAAAGTTCTTACGGTACAAATTTCGGCGTGTCTAGCACCCTTCTCCCCATGTTCACCGAACTGCTTTCCCTTGAACAAAGCATACTCCTCGCTCTCTACATAAGGATACAGTTCAAAGTTAGCTCGATATTTGGAACCATCCTCATCTCTATCCGTTGTCAGGAAAGTGGCGTTATCGTCAAACATTTTGGGGGGTAATGTATTTGTCCCGACTCGCTGCCTGAAAATACGATGTATCCATGGTCGCGTTATATAACCAGATATCAATGTCATGCGTTTTCTACTAACGTTGTTCCTACATCTTCACTTTCTACTTCTACGACTACTATTACTTTGACAACTACTACGTCGACGATTATTAAAACTAAAACGTCTACTTTTGGATCTTCAACTACAGTTACTACTGCTTCTACAACTACAAAATATTTTCCTTATACAGTAAACTACGGATATAACGAACACGCTTATAACGAACTGACGGATATAACGAACTTACTTTTTTGGTCCCGACTATTTGCTGCAGTTATGCTGTATATATGCTTATAGCGAACTACGGTTATAACGAACTAAAATTAGTAGTCCCCTTGAGTTCGTTATAACCGTACTTTACTGTACAACCAGTACCACAGTCACTACTGTTGTATAGGCGATTACTTGTTTTACTACTGCTACTGTTGCTACACTGTTTCAGCTGTTTCCACTATGACACCATATTATTACCACAGTCACTTCACAGATAATACATTAACTACGTCTATTACTATCGAATGCCTGCCAACTGTACTATTGACACTGCCTCTATCACAACAACGACTACTACCACTGATGCTTCTACCACAACTACTTCTACTACCACTGCTTCTATCACAACTACCTCTACTACCACTGTTTCTATCACAACTACGACTACTACCACTGCTTCTATCACAACTACCTCTACTACTACTGCTTCTATCACAACTACTTCTACTACCACTGCTTCTATCACAACTACTTCTACTACCACTGTTTCTATCACAACTACTTCTACTACAACTGCTTCTATCACAACTACTTCTACTACCACTGCTTCTATCACAACTACTTCTATTACCACTGCTTTTATCACAACTACTTCTACTACCACTGCTTCTATCACAACTACCTCTACTACCACTGCTTCTATCACAACTACTTCTACTACCACTGCTTCTATCAGAAATACTTCAACTGCTACTGCTTCTATCACAACTACCTCTACTACCACTGCTTCTATCACAACTACCTCTACTTCTATCACAACTACTTCTACTACCACTGCTTCTATCACAACTACTTCTACTTCTATCACAACTATCTCTACTACCACTGCTTCTATCACAACTACTTCTACTACCACTGTTTCTATCACAAATACTTCTACTGCTACTGCTTCTATCACAACTACCTCTACTACCACTGCTTCTATCACAACTACTTCTACTACCACTGCTTCTATCACAACTACTTCTACTACCACTGCTTCTATCACAACTACTTCTACTACCACTGTTTCTATCACAAATACTTCTACTGCTACTGCTTCTATCACAACTACCTCTACTACCACTGCTTCTATCACAACTACCTCTACTTCCATCATACTACTTCTACTACCACTGCTTCTATCACAACTACTTCTACTACCACTGCTTCTATCACAACTACTTCTACTACCACTGTTTCTATCACAACTACTTCTACTACCACTGCTTCTATCACAACTACTTCTACTACCACTGCTTCTATCACAACTACTTCTACTGCTTCTATCACAACTACTTCTACTACCACTGTTTCTATCACAACTACTTCTACTACCAATGCTTCTATCACAACTACTTCTACTACCACTGCTTTTATCACAACTACTTCTACTACAACTGCTTCTATCACAACTACCTCTACTACCACTGCTTCTATCACAACTACTTCTACTACCACTGCTTTTATCACAACTACTTCTACTACCACTGCTTCTATCACAACTACCTCTACTACCACTGTTTCTATCACAAACACTTCTACTGCTACTGCTTCTATCACAACTACTTCTACTACCACTGCTTTTATCACAACTACTTCTACTACTACTGCTTCTATCACAACTACCTCTACTACCACTGCTTCTATCACAACTACCTCTACTTCTATCACAACTACTTCTACTACCACTGTTTCTATCACAACTACTTCTACTACCACTGCTTCTATCACAACTACTTCTACTACCACTGCTTTTATCACAACTACTTCTACTACCACTGCTTCTATCACAACTACCTCTACTACCACTGCTTCTATCACAACTACTTCTACTACCACTGCTTTTATCACAACTACTTCTACTACCACTGCTTCTATCACAACTACCTCTACTACCACTGTTTCTATCACAACTACTTCTACTACCACTGCTTCTATCACAACTACCTCTACTACCACTGCTTCTATCACAACTACTTCTACTACCACTGCTTTTATCACAACTACTTCTACTACCACTGCTTCTATCACAACTACCTCTACTACCACTGCTTCTATCACAACTACTTCTACTACCACTGATTTTATCACAACTACTTCTACTACCACTGCTTCTATCACAACTACTTCTACTACCACTGCTTTTATCACAACTACTTCTACTACTACTGCTTCTATCACAACTACCTCTACTACCACTGCTTCTATCACAACTACCTCTACTTCTATCACAACTACTTCTACTACCACTGCTTCTATCACAACTACTTCTACTACCACTGCTTCTATCACAACTACTTCTACTACTACTGCTTCTATCACAACTACTTCTACTACCACTGCTTCTATCACAACTACTTCTACTACCACTGCTTCTACCACAACTACCTCTGCTTCTATCAAAACTACCTCTACTACCACTGTTTCTGTCACAACTACTTCACTACCACTGCTTCTATCACAACTACTTCTAATACAACCACTTCTACTACAACTACTTCTTCTACCTGTGACTTGTACCACACTTACAACTACTACAATCAAATTCATATCACAGATTAATGATAAATGTTATCCCCCTACCTGTATGCGACGTCCCAGCACACTGTTGCCCCACTTTACAGCGTCGGGATAAATATCGTCTTACCAATAATTACGTAACGGCGTGACATAATCTTTCTCGAGGAAACACGTACATTTACTGGGAATATTCTGCACATGACGTTGCACTGTTAATAAAGGATAAATCACTTGTGGAAAAGAGTGGACGAAACAGGAGAATGTTATTACCTTGAATTTTGTCTCGGGTTGTGTATGTAGTGCATGTGTCATGTTCGTACATGCCGTGGCGTGCATTATACTACCAACTCACGTTAAAGTTTATTGTCTGTGATCACGACATAGTGAATGGTGCACATCATGCACCAACATGGCGTTATGCGGCAAGCCCCTTGCTAAAAATATATTGAACATATCAATCCATAATTATAAAACGATTGTGAAACAGTCAATGAACAGTAGTGGTTTATGGATTTGGTCGGAATAGCCAGATATATTTTAACTCCTTCAACTCTATATATTGTTTAGCACGGTATGGATAAAGTAGAATGCTTGTCGGTCTCAAGGTTTAATATTAGCACCCGCGTGTCTTAAGCTATGGATAACCCGATTTATATTTAGTTGCGTCGGTCTCACTACAGTCTCGAGTTATCGAAGTGTCGCTCTGTGTAAAACGTACCTAGAATGTTGAAATGTTGTCGTGTGTTGTATTTCACATTGCAATGCGGGTATCTTTTAACGGCAAAATTATTACTATTCCACCTATGCGCGGGTGTCTTTTAAATGATCAGGTCTATGTTGTATACACGAATTTATAGTTATACGTCGGTACAACATATTAATTATAATCCACATTTTTATCTGGCGCGGAACTCGCTTTACAGAGTTGTCTCCCTTAGTTGATAGGATCCTCTGGCCGTGGGTTCGAATATTAGGGGTCTTGGTCTATGAGCACCACACTCGGGTTCGTTGGCTACATTCGAGTTGTAAATGTCTACGACTTGCAATTTCTTCAGAAACCCGGGATGAAAATTCTACTATCGGTATTATATCAGCGTTAATGCACATTATTATTATTAACATGGTATTTATATAGCGCTAGTTTCCAGACTGACTGCTCAAAAGCGCTCTTGAAGCTCGCACAGTTGGTATGGCTATATATATTTTGCTGAACAGACAAAAACACGTTGTGTAAGCAGGATCTTCGGGTCAAAGATGTTCGGCCATCCTGTCTTCGGACACTCTACAGTTTTAGAGGCATGATTTAGTATCGCGTGACTGTCACGTGATGTCAACACGCAGACGTGCATCTGTCAACACTTCGCGCGATGGATTCAGCACAAATGATTGCAGTGAAGCGCAAACCGAATTGGTCATCTGAAGGCTATCATCAAGGGCAAGTTAGGGCCAGGAGTTACGTCGCGGATGAAGATACTTAAGAAAATTCTTAGGTAATAAAAAGCCCCCTTGAGTACTCTTAACTTTAGGGGTACTCTTGGTGCTAAAAGTTTTAATGAATATGGTTTTAGAAAATTCTTAGATTTAAGAGTAACTTTTGGTATTTCTAAGAATCTTCTCAGAAGACCTTTTTAAGACCTCTTAAGCTATCTAAGAATGTTTATGAAAACCGCCCTGTTGTATAATGACTATGTCTCAAACAGGTGATGAACAGTAATTGCTTAGTACTTGAGTTCTGTTGTATAATGACTATGTCTCAAACAGGTGATGAACAGTAATTGCTTAGTACTTGAGTTCTGTTGTATAAAGACTATGTCTCAAACAGGTGATGAACAGTAATTGCTTAGTACTTGAGTTCTGTTGTAGAATGACTATGTCTCAAACAGGTGATGAACAGTAATTGCTTAGTACTTGAGTTCTGTTGTAGAATGACTATGTCTCAAACAGGTGATGAACAGTAATTGCTTAGTACTTGAGTTCTGTTGTAGAATGACTATGTCTCAAACAGGTGATGAACAGTAATTGCTTAGTACTTGAGTTCTGTTGTATAATGACTATGTCTCAAACAGGTGATGAACAGTAATTGCTTAGTACTTGAGTTCTGTTGTAGAATGACTATGTCTCAAACAGATGATGAACAGTAATTGCTTAGTACTTGAGTTCTGTTGTAGAATGACTGTCTAAAACAGGTGATGAACAGTAATTGCTTAGTACTTGAGTTCTGTTGTATAATGACTATGTCTCAAACAGGTGATGAACAGTAATTGCTTAGTACTTGAGTTCTGTTGTATAATGACTATGTCTCAAACAGATGATGAACAGTAATTGCTTAGTACTTGAGTTCTGTTGTAGAATGACTGTCTCAAACAGATGATGAACAGTAATTGCTTAGCACTTGAGTTCTGTTGTATAATGACTGTCTCAAACAGATGATGAACAGTAATTGCTTAGTACTTGAGTTCTGTTGTAGAATGACTATGTCTCAAACAGGTGATGAACAGTAATTGCTTAGTACTTGAGTTCTGTTGTATAATGACTATGTCTCAAACAGATGATGAACAGTAATTGCTTAGTACTTGAGTTCTGTTGTAGAATGATTGTCTCAAACAGATGATGAACAGTAATTGCTTAGTACTTGAGTTCTGTTGTATAATGACTATGTTTCAAACAGATGACGAACAGCAATTGCTTAGTACTTGAGTTCTGTTGTATAATGACTATGTCTCAAACAGATGATGAACAGTAATTGCTTAGTACTTGAGGTCTGTTGTATAATGACTATGTTTCAAACAGATGATGAACAGTAATTGCTTAGTACTTGAGTTCTGTTGTAGAATGACTATGTCTCAAACAGATGATGAACAGTAATTGCTTAGTACTTGAGTTCTGTTGTAGAATGACTATGTCTCAAACAGATGATGAACAGTAATTGCTTAGTACTTGAGTTCTGTTGTAGAATGACTATGTCTGAAACAGATGATGAACAGTAATTGCTTAGTAATTGAGTTCTGTTGTATAATGACTATGTCTCAAACAGATGATGAACAGTAATTGCTTAGTACTTGAGTTCTGTTGTATAATGACTATGTCTCAAACAGGTGATGAACAGTAATTGCTTAGTACTTGAGTTCTGTTGTAGAATGACTATGTCTCAAACAGGTGATGAACAGTAATTGCCAAGCGTGTGGTGTCAGTTTAGTTATACCCTTGCTGTCCATCTGTGAATCAATCACTACATAACAGGGAGTACGATGACACGCAACCAGCCAGGTCACAGAGCCTGACCACCCGATCCCCACTTAGCGCGGCAGGTCATCGGTTCCTTGTACCGACTATTTTGATATTAGGGTAGGGGGGATGGGGGCCTGTAGATTATATATTTTCTCTACTACGGAAACAAAACTAATCTTTTCAGTTCAAACTATGAGCCTAAATATGTATTTTTACAACAATGTATTATTTTGTTACAGACCGTTTCTTTTGTTTTCCAAGCAACTTATACCCCCTCGCATGATCAAATGGTCGAACCCTTCATAAAAAAAGGACAAATACAATCATGTATTTTTTAAACATTGATATCTTGAAATCCGAGATGTTTAGATGACATAATATACATTTACAACATGAGCTGGTAATGGAATGTGAAGATTCAGAGGTCAATATCTGACATCAGCGTTTGCCCCCCTGAATATATCCTACCACTGAACTCGAAAGGAGTCATGCTTGTCCGAGTTCGAGTCTGAATAAACACATGAGACTTCGTCTTGATTCATAATTTGGAGAAATTCTCACAAAGTTGGTTGCATTCGTGATTCACAAAGAAATTCCGGATTCCAAGGAGCCCTTCATCCTTGTCTCCGAAATCCTCGTGTTCCTCCCCCTCCTCATCCCCCTTTCCCTCACCATCGACCTCGCCCTCATCTCCGCCCTCATCTCCGCCCCTACCTGCCACGGGGTTGGAGTGAACAGTGGGGCCACGGAAATAATACTCCTTGTCCATTTTCCTTCCTTTCAATCCACATATGACAAACTTCCCACCACTTTGTTCCCAGGAGTAATGAGAGAAGGCCTGCGTTATATCCTTGTCTACATCACTAAGGTTCTCGTTCTCACAGCACCCCGTGGAGTCACTATAATACTCGTTCTCCCTACTGCTGAAGTAGGGTTCCAGAAGAACCACCTCCCCAACCACAAGCTTCTTCTTGTGAGGCTTGCAACATCTCAGGCACATCCCAACTGGCGCCCATTCGTTGAACACGCTGGCCATCTCGGCTCGGATAGGCACTGAGATGGTGATCGTGTCCTTCTGCTTGACCACCGCCTTGTTGAAGTCTTTGGCGACTTCATGGGCCACCCGGCCAATCCGCACCTGACTCTCCCAGTGGCGGTGCCGCCCAATCTTGTGTCTCTTGGCTCGGATGCGACAAAGGTCGTCGTGTTTGTAGCTGAATTTGCCTTCACGGGAATAGCGGCCGAGGTAGAAGGATTCATGGGACGTTTCCGAGTAGGGGAAGTGTTCAAAGCTGGCGAAATACTCGCATCCATATTCATCCTTGTCCTCCGAGGTGAGGGTCGTGTTAACAGCGCCCATGGTACCTGTGAGAGTACAAGAATAGTTACTGGAGTATTGCATAAACAACTCGTTAAGCTGTACTAGTTTTACAGAGGAGGTAAATGTGCAAACTTTGACACCTTTTCCCCTGCATATATCTCCGATATATTAGCTTGCGTTAAGTGGCTATCCTGGCATGTTTTATTCAGATTATCCAGAACCCACTTTGCGTGTCAAATATTATAATGTAGATCCAAAAGCAGTTACTTCTAACCCTAGTTACATACAAAAATAGTGTCTTATTTTCACACAAGGCACTAACTACAACATCTAGACTGTGCCGGACATCTTTAAGCTCAGTCGTTACTATCTAAAGCGGCGTTTGACACAAATAATTCACTCATTCTTATAAAAGACAGCTAGGTAAGATTCAGTCGGGGTCAGGAATAAGGTGCGGTGTGAGATGTCCTGAATTAGTTCAATCATGTAAGATTCAGTCGGTGTCGAGATAAGGTGCGGTGTGAGATGTCCTGAATTAGTTCAATCATGTAAGATTCAGTCGGGGTCAGGAATAAGTTGCGGTGTGAGATGTCCTGAATTAGTTCAATCATGTAAGATTCAGTCGGTGTCGAGATAAGGTGCGGTGTGAGATGTCCTGAATTAGTTCAATCATGTAAGATTCAGTCGGTGTCGAGATAAGGTGCGGTGTGAGATGTCCTGAATTAGTTCAATCATGTAAGATTCAGTCGGTGTCGAGATAAGGTGCGGTGTGAGATGTCCTGAATTAGTTCAATCATGTAAGATTCAGTCGGGGTCAGGAATAAGGTGCGGTGTGAGATGTCCTGAATTAGTTCAATCATGTAAGATTCAGTCGGGGTCAGGAATAAGTTGCGTTGTGAGATGTCCTGAATTAGTTCAATCATGTAAGATTCAGTCGGTGTCGAGATAAGGTGCGGTGTGAGATGTCCTGAATTAGTTCAATCATGTAAGATTCAGTCGGGGTCAGGAATAAGTTGCGGTGTGAGATGTCCTGAATTAGTTCAATCATGTAAGATTCAGTCGGTGTCGAGATAAGGTGCGGTGTGAGATGTCCTGAATTAGTTCAATCATGTAAGATTCAGTCGGGGTCAGGAATAAGGTGCGGTGTGAGATGTCCTGAATTAGTTCAATCATGTAAGATTCAGTCGGGGTCAGGAATAAGTTGCGTTGTGAGATGTCCTGAATTAGTTCAATCATGTAAGATTCAGTCGGTGTCGAGATAAGGTGCGATGTGAGATGTCCTGAATTAGTTCAATCATGTAAGATTCAGTCGGGGTCAGGAATAAGTTGCGGTGTGAGATGTCCTGAATTAGTTCAATCATGTAAGATTCAGTCGGTGTCGAGATAAGGTGCGGTGTGAGATGTCCTGAATTAGTTCAATCATGTAAGATTCAGTCGGGGTCGAGATAAGGTGCGGTGTGAGATGTCCTGAATTAGTTCAATCATGTAAGATTCAGTCGGGGTCAGGAATAAGGTGCGGTGTGAGATGTCCTGAATTAGTTCAATCATGTAAGATTCAGTCGGGGTCAGGAATAAGTTGCGTTGTGAGATGTCCTGAATTAGTTCAATCATGTAAGATTCAGTCGGTGTCGAGATAAGGTGCGGTGTGAGATGTCCTGAATTAGTTCAATCATGTAAGATTCAGTCGGGGTCAGGAATAAGTTGCGGTGTGAGATGTCCTGAATTAGTTCAATCATGTAAGATTCAGTCGGTGTCGAGATAAGGTGCGGTGTGAGATGTCCTGAATTAGTTCAATCATGTAAGATTCAGTCGGGGTCAGGAATAAGGTGCGGTGTGAGATGTCCTGAATTAGTTCAATCATGTAAGATTCAGTCGGGGTCAGGAATAAGTTGCGTTGTGAGATGTCCTGAATTAGTTCAATCATGTAAGATTCAGTCGGTGTCGAGATAAGGTGCGATGTGAGATGTCCTGAATTAGTTCAATCATGTAAGATTCAGTCGGTGTCGAGATAAGGTGCGATGTGAGATGTCCTGAATTAGTTCAATCATGTAAGATTCAGTCGGTGTCGAGATAAGGTGCGGTGTGAGATGTCCTGAATTAGTTCAATCATGTAAGATTCAGTCGGTGTCGAGATAAGGTGCGGTGTGAGATGTCCTGAATTAGTTCAATCATGTAAGATTCAGTCGGTGTCGAGATAAGGTGCGGTGTGAGATGTCCTGAATTAGTTCAATCATGTAAGATTCAGTCGGTGTCGAGATAAGGTGCGGTGTGAGATGTCCTGAATTAGTTCAATCATGTAAGATTCAGTTGGGGTCAGGAATAAGTTGCGGTGTGAGATGTCCTGAATTAGTTCAATCATGTAAGATTCAGTCGGTGTCGAGATAAGGTGCGGTGTGAGATGTCCTGAATTAGTTCAATCATGTAAGATTCAGTCGGGGTCAGGAATAAGTTGCGGTGTGAGATGTCCTGAATTAGTTCAATCATGTAAGATTCAGTCGGTGTCGAGATAAGGTGCGGTGTGAGATGTCCTGAATTAGTTCAATCATGTAAGATTCAGTCGGGGTCAGGAATAAGGTGCGGTGTAAGATGTCCTGAATTAGTTCAATCATGTAAGATTCAGTCGGTGTCGAGATAAGGTGCGGTGTGAGATGTCCTGAATTAGTTCAATCATGTAAGATTCAGTCGGTGTCGAGATAAGGTGCGGTGTGAGATGTCCTGAATTAGTTCAATCATGTAAGATTCAGTCGGTGTCGAGATAAGGTGCGGTGTGAGATGTCCTGAATTAGTTCAATCATGTAAGATTCAGTCGGTGTCGAGATAAGGTGCGGTGTGAGATGTCCTGAATTAGTTCAATCATGTAAGATTCAGTCGGTGTCGAGATAAGGTGCGGTGTGAGATGTCCTGAATTAGTTCAATCATGTAAGATTCAGTCGGTGTCGAGATAAGGTGCGGTGTGAGATGTCCTGAATTAGTTCAATCATGTAAGATTCAGTCGGTGTCGAGATAAGGTGCGGTGTGAGATGTCCTGAATTAGTTCAATCATGTAAGATTCAGTCGGTGTCGAGATAAGGTGCGGTGTGAGATGTCCTGAATTAGTTCAATCATGTAAGATTCAGTCGGTGACGAGGTAAGGTGCGGTGTGAGATATCCTGAATTAGTTCAATCATGTAAGATTCAGTCGGTGTCGAGATAAGGTGCGGTGTGAGATGTCCTGAATTAGTTCAATCATGTAAGATTCAGTCGGTGTCGAGATAAGGTGCGGTGTGAGATGTCCTGAATTAGTTCAATCATGTAAGATTCAGTCGGTGTCGAGATAAGGTGCGGTGTGAGATGTCCTGAATTAGTTCAATCATGTAAGATTCAGTCGGTGACGAGATAAGGTGCGGTGTGAGATATCCTGAATTAGTTCAATCATGTAAGATTCAGTCGGTGTCGAGATAAGGTGCGGTGTGAGATGTCCTGAATTAGTTCAATCATGTAAGATTCAGTCGGTGTCGAGATAAGGTGCGGTGTGAGATGTCCTGAATTAGTTCAATCATGTAAGATTCAGTCGGTGACGAGATAAGGTGCGGTGTGAGATATCCTGAATTAGTTCAATCATGTAAGATTCAGTCGGTGTCGAGATAAGGTGCGATGTGAGATGTCCTGAATTAGTTCAATCATGTAAGGTTCAGTCGGTGACGAGATAAGGTGCATGCGGTGTGAGATGTCCTGAATAAGTTCAATCATGTAAGATTCAGTCGGTGATGAGATAAGGTGCGGTGTGAGATGTCCTGAATTAATTCAATCATGTAAGATTCAGTCGGGGTCTAGATTGAGGTCCAGTGTAATGTAGTTGAGGGGAGAACGTAACAATGAAATGACGTCTTATGACAAAAGATGACCCCATCTCTTTCCGCGACAATAAAATCAACTGAAATGAAATATTTCAGCAAATATTATTTTCATTCATTAGCATACTCGATTATCCAGTACATCATACCTCCATTCTAGTGTGATATTTACCCTGGACGTCTGACATAAGCAGTTATATCACCTGTACTAAGCTCGACATTTCCAGACGTCTCAATTCCTAGCGGAATGATTTGTACCATAAGGACTACCATTCCCCATTCTAGATTCTATTATTCCAGCTAAACGTCTTCTGATTCGATTAAATATATCTCGAGGGCTCGCTTGGTGTGTGTGTGTGTGTGTGTGTGTGTGTGTGTGTGTGTGTGTGTGTATGTGTGAGATGCACTGATGTACTGAAAATAATAATGACCCAATAACCCTCCCATAATGCTTGTCATCATTTTATGACCCTTTCCATGTGCTTGTACATATTATTCATGACCCACCCCAAATATGTTTATTATTTTTAATGACTCGACCCTCCCCTAGAAGCTGTCATGGTTTGGGGTGACCTCCCCTGATCCCCCACACCCATATTATAAATGGCAGGTCCTTCAGGCGGAATTTCTTTCCTTGTTTTATAATTACATCCGGCAATATACTGTTACTCGTCCTCTAATACAAAGCATCGAATATTATAGAGGACTCTATGTAACTTGTACGCATGCAACTTATACGTGTTGATTGCTGTGAGAAGCTAGCCATGAGTCATGTACCAGCCAACAATAACGTGATTGTGCCAGCCATTGAAAAAAACCTCTTGCCTTACCTGTTTGAGGTTAATTCTTATGGTTTGCCGTAGATAACTTCCTTAAGTACGACAATGTCTACCAGTCAGCCCACCTGTGCAAATCACTGTTGTGGAGGACTATATGCATGTTACTAGCCGCATGTCTTTCGGATCATCCCGACGCACAACATCGACTTGGGTACCTCGTATTAAGGTGTTGTGTAAACTTGTAACTCGAATGATTCTGCACTACGTTACATGAAGCTTGAGATATTTTATCACGCCTAAGGGATGTAACTGCTGTCGTGGAGTAAGATTCTTAGAGACGCATGAACGAGCTTGGGTATTTACAACGTACAAAACTTACGCCGAAACGACAATGTGACCTCGCATTCTCAGCCTGTAAACATACATACGAGCAGTGGGACAATGAATGCAGGCCGGCCTCGTGACAGTTGTTCATCGCTTTCCTCGAGAATGAAGATCTTTTGTGTCGACCGGGCTCCCTTGACTTCTGTTTCGCGTTAAAGTAAATGCACTTCTTGGAATAGGAGTATTGTGTGTTAATATCTTTAGAGGGATACTATATCTATACTAATTATAAGAATACACATAGAAATATCTCTACTTCCTCGTGGGAGTGAGTTAGTTGGGTTTAACGCCGCTTTGAACAGTATTCCAGATATCTTACGGCGTACGTGTCGGCTTAATGTGGAGGGAAACCCCGAAGTGTTGCAGGTTTACCACTTTGGTGAAACTCACGTGCATGCGTATAGTACTAACAAACATAGAAATATATTCGGGGCGAACCTGGATTCGAACCCACGATCAAAGGTGTCTGGTGTGACAAAGGGACGCAACTCTGCACAGCGAATTGTGGCGCCGAAGACGACTGGGCCACCTGTGCCCCCTTCCAGGAGAGATAGGTCCCCAGCAATCCATGCTGGTCATACGAGGCGACCAAATGGATCGGGTGGTCAGGCCTGGTGACTTGGTTGATGCATGTCATCGGTCCCAATTGCTTGGATCGATGCTCATGATATCAATCACTGGATTGTCTGGTCCCGACTCGATTTTTCACAGGCCGCCGTCGTATAGCTGGAACATTGCTGAGTGCGGCGTTAAACAACAAACAAACAAACAAACAAACCACGACGGCGTGGGTCGTTGCTCACAATAGGAATCGGGGGCACGGGCACCCAGTCGTCTAAGGCGTCGCAATTCGTTATGCAGAGTCGCGTCCCTTGGTCGCGCCAGAAACCTCTAATTGTGGGTTCGAATCCTGGTTCGACCCGATTATGTTTCTTGGCTTGTCAGCACGTACCATATCCGTGCTCGTGGGTTTCATCGAAGTGTTTAACGTCGAAGATCTGCACGACTTCGGGCTTTCCTCCCACATTAAGCTGACACGCCGTTATATAACTGGAATACTGTTAAAAGCGGCGTTAAACATAACTCACTCACTCACTCACAATAGGAATCAATCAATTAATTACAGGCCGCAGTCATTCAGCTGGGATAATTCTTACTGCCGCGTTAAACACCAAAAGCAAATCACGATTTTAAAAATATGTCTTCCAGACGCTCAAGTCTTAAAGACTTGACACACACCTGGGCATATATATACCTCGTGATCTATTGAAACTATTCATTCCGCTGTCTAGTTACTGATACACGTTCACACTGAGAGCACCACCGGAATTTTACACGTTTCGTAAACATTGGCGTTTATCATGTGCCGAGTGATCTCCACAACCTGAGTGAGTGAGTGAGTTTGATTTTACACCGCTTTTAGCAATATTTTAGCAATAATTGTACCAATGTCGAGAATCGAGCCCGAGTCTTCGGCGTGACGAGCGAACGCTTTAACCACTAGGCTACCAGACCGTCCCAAAAAACCTAAGAGCTATTCGTGAAGATCCGGGGTAGAATAGGTGTACAGCAACCCATGTTTGCATTAAAAGGCGAGATTGCCGTCATATAGCTGGTATAACAACAAACACACACACAAACAAACAAACTACTATTCCCACCGGACCTAAACACACCTGTGTCCCTCGTAGTTTGAGATCAGGTGAATGGAGTTTAACATCGCGTTCAAGATTTTTTCACTTATATCAGCGACGTGACTGCACGTGTGTATGTGGCTGCTTGTATCGTCCGGACATATAAATGCTGGTTTACTGGTGCTAGCCCACTGAGTCACAGATTTCACGAGCAATGGGTAAAAACGGTATCCGGTGGAGTCATATACGGATACACAGTTGAACCAATCAACTCAACTCGAAAGGGTGCACGGGAATCACGCACGCACGAATACGGTGTTAGCGTTGGGCGTCTCAACGTGCGTGATTCCCGTGCACCTTTTCGACTGCACATTTCCTTAAATCATTGAAGAATTTGCACACCACAACAAGGTGTACTTCATCTTCGATTAACTGTTCCTGACATAGTTGACAAAGTCTATTTACCAAAGGAGTCACAGGCTTGGTATACCTGCCACTTTCTATAGCCAGAGGAAGGCTTCCACAATGTAATGAGGCTAATATACTTCTTTGTTGTCTGGGTAGAGACATTTTCACATAGTGAGAAGTTTGGATAGTTTCTTTATATTTCCTATATGTTCGTAATTTATTTCCATTGCAATTACCTTTGTCATTAAATATATCCGAGAACCACTTTTGTATGTCTCTTGTATCTAACACTTCAAGGCATGTTTTGAGAAATGAGGCACGTTTAGCCTTGACACAAAAATCTAAAACGTCCATATTTCCATGAATATCTATTTTTTTCACAAATTCACACATCCTATAATCTCAGGAGGATTTTCTTTTAAATGACCATTTATGGACTATGGCACACACAGATGTTTCACAGGAGGTGATGATTTTATGGAAACTTCGAAGAACTTCAATTTTAATTTTAGTATTTTGGCTTCTCCAACCCATCTCTCCTCTGACGGCAACATTAGAGGCATTCTTTCTCACTCCCAAGAAGAATCTGGAGGCTTTATTCTGAATATAACTTATTTCTTTGTACATATTTACGCCCCACACACTTGCACTATAACTGGTTGCACATAACTATCAAATAATTTTGTGTACACTGCATGGCTTAAACCTCCCAAATGGTTGAACTTACTGAAAATGCTCTGTTTGCCGCTTTGCATATTTCTTTAACTGTTTTCCTATAGTCACAATGTTCGTTGATCCACATTCCTAGATATTTATATTCTGTACAATAATCGGTATTGACATTTCCACATTTGAACTGAATATCACATCTAGGCGTTGATGCTGTTCTACAGTGCATGATGTTTGTTTTGTCTCTATTCACTGCTAGCTTCAATTTGGTAGACCACTGATGTAAACAATCGAGTAGCTTTTGTAAGTTATCTTCATTAGGTGCGATGAGGACAATATCATCCGCATACATTAGGAATGAAATGTTGAAAGAGTCAATGTTTATTCCACACTGAAGTTCACTTAAAGCATCTGCTAGATCATTTATATACATAGAAAATAGTGTGGGTGACAAGCAACAGCCTTGCTTGACCCCAACAGTAACATCAAACCAGTCAGTTTTGTCAGTATTCACCTTGACAGAACATTGCACATCCTGGTAGAGAGATTGAATAGATCTCAAAATATATCCTTGAACTGCAAATTGATGTTGTAGTTTATGCCACAACATATTTCTCTGAATAGAATCAAAGGCTTTACGAATGTCAACAAAACATACATAAGTAGATAGTTTTGACATCTTCCTATTGTATATTATTTTAGTGAGAGTTTCTAGGTGATCCTGACATGATCTACCCTTGTGGAAACCATTTTGGTAAGGTGTAAGCAGATCATTAGTCTCCAGCCAGGTGCTGATTCTGTTGTTGAGGACTTTGGCATATGCTTTATAAGTCACACATAGAAGAGTGATGCCTCTATAATTAGTTGGTAATCTTGGGTCACCTGCCCCAGATTTGGGGATTGGATTAATGACTCTCTTCTTCCAAATATTGGGGACCAGACCTGATTTAAAGATCACATTGTAAAAACGGGTTAAAATGTCTATAGATGGCTGATTCTTTATCACCTCAGCTGGACATTAATGCGCACATTGTAGGAAAACCTTCAATGTTAAGGTACAGTTTGGGGGGGAGATGAGAACAGGTTTCTCGACGACACAATACAGACATTATATATTAAGAGGTTGTCACGCTTGTGGGTTTTGAGGTTGTACATATCCTGAATAGACACAACGTATTTAGCTCCCCAAGTCTGGCTTTAGACAATGTTTATGGTACATCCCTAAACACACTCACGTCATTGCCTCTATACCTTTAAAGGCTAAAGACAGAGTGTGCTTTAATTGTAATGATCATCTTGAAGATGAAAAACGTGTTTTATTCGAATGTCCACTATACGATGATCTAAAATCCAAATTATTCATGGGTATAACGACTAAAATGTCCAACTTTTTAAACCTATCAACAATGAGAAATTGTGTGTCCTTTTTTAAACATGAGGTATATGTCACTGCCAAAACCTGCTTTTTAATATTACAACGCAGATAACTATTGCTATATGGGTAAAACGTTTTGTATCTTTATATACGGTGTATCATCGAGTTCTGTGTATCGTTTCTCATAACTTTATATGAGTGGCGCTGTATTATTATTTTTATGTATATCGAGGTTATCACGCGAGTGTGTTTGGGGATGGTAATTATCCTGCATTAGGAATAAACATTGTATTTAGCGAGCCTTGGCGAGCTAAATACATAGTGTTTATTCCTAATACAGGATATTTACCATCCCCAAACACACAAGCGTGATAACCTCTTTATCAATTCATATAATGTCATTCTTTAATTCTGTGCTTTAAAATCGCTTTCCCTCTCTCACAAACATTTCCGAAACATTGCGAGTTTTCCTGGAATGCGTGCATTAATATTTATTACGTCACAGGGTAAGTGATGTGTCAGTCGGACAGTGACAGTAGCCAATATAGTTCCAACTGAAATCTGTTTCTTTTACAGTGGCGAAGCAACATATACGCAAAACAACAGTTGTTTTTAATTGCCTTTCGCGGCAATCCATCGGTCTGACCGCTAGAGTAACTGCCCTTTGTCAAAGGGAAGCTACTCTAACCCTAGTCTATGAGACGTCACGGCCACGGTCAGACGTTGTTGACAGTCGGTCTGTCCTGTCATAACGTTAAGAAGTGTAGTCAGATGTACACACAGCGACAAAA